CATTTCCAGCAGTCACAGTGCGAGGGGCGGGGTACACCCTGGACAGGTCGCAAGTCCATCACAGGATTAGAATAAATTGCTATTAATTTAGTTTTTAAAGAATATTTAACTTTGATACAAGAACATTAAATTATTTGAATGAAACGGTCATATCTGACTGCTGTGAACTGCTTTCAACTGTGTGAAAAAATCACTGATATCAAGTCAAGTCTCATTGAAAACACACTTTCCCATGTCCCCCATGGGGACGAMTGGACCCTGGGGCCGCCGGAGGTTCGGTTCACACTCAAGGAGAGCGAGGAGATGGTCAAACAGACGGAGGAGGACGTTTTGAGTGACAGATATGTGAACAGGAACTCAAACGGGAACGCAGAGTGGCTGGTTGTGTCGTACCTGGAGAAGGCTCTGAAACAGAGCGCCGGCGCAGCGGAGCAGCTGGCTGGACCATCTGGGGAGCGACGAGGCYGCGGCGTGGGCGTCGGCTGCCGCTGACGTCGGGCGGGTGGCGTTGCCGCCAGRCCYTGAAACAACTGGGCTACTCCCGGGAGTTGCTACTGTCGGGTCAGTGTAGTCGGCCCACCTGCTGAGCTGTGGTTCTCGGGGACGGGACGCCGGTGTTGGGTCCTGTCGGGTCCTGTCATCTGGTTGCTGTTAGAACAAACCCGGGTGAACAATGACGACGAGACGCGGCCAGGGACATTACTCCGATGCCATGATGGAGGAGTTTAAAAAAATCTCTGGATTTTATGAGCGCCAAACTGACAAGAGAGGCTTCTCAACAAGAACTTTTGGTTGGTTTTGGTTTGTTCTTTTCATGATTATTAGTGTTTTATGGTATTTTTATTCATATGTATTTTATGTTGTCCGTGTTTGAAAAGGGGCAGATATAAGATTTTTTCTTCTTTCTGACACCTTTCATTTTCTTTGTAAATGTTTTTTGTTGTTTTGAGGTTTGTTTTGTTTTAAACTGAAAATGAATAAATTTATTTTTAAAAAGTGTATCTTATCCCCCTGTGAAAAGATAACTCCGCCCCAAGGCGAAATTTGAAAAATGCATCAAAGTGGGTAGGGGGGGGTGGTTAGAGAGCGGAGGTGTGGCCAGGACGAGAGAACGTGACAGCTAGCTTTAGCATAATTGATGCTACATGGAGAGTGACCACAGTATCGCAGATAGTTACATCTCTGAACGTCTGAGGTGGAGGATTTTCACCCCACACCAGCACCGGACAGAGGAGGAGGAGCGGTTGTCTTTGAGGACATTTGATCTAATTTAGTAGGGATGCACGATATATCGGTATTGATATCGGTATCGGCCAATATTGGTATTTTTTTAGAATATCTGCATCGGTCCGATATGTAAAACTGAGCCGATATTAATGTCCGATATTGATTTCCCAGTTTTTATCTTTGTGTTCCTGTTTTGAGAGGGGAAATGGTTGGTTGMGCAGCATCTGTTTGATCATGATAGTGATAYTGAYGCTGTGYAGCCAGAAATAACTGAAGTAGAGTCATGTCAGAGGTCTGGTTGTTTATTTACAGCATCAAAAAAAGACCCAAGTGTGTTTTTGCRTAAATGTAATTTGTATGTTTGTGTAATATCGGTAAATATCGGCCATAACAGCAATAATTATATCGKATATCGGATGAAATTTTCATATCGGTGCATCCCTATAATTTAGTCTTCTCTGTCCTGCAGCCAGTCTGAACCCACTGAGGTGTTCCTGACTGGAAGAACTGGTATTAATAAAGGTTCAGAGTCTAAACATGAATCTAATGCAGATTAATCATCCAAATAAAAATATTCCTGTGAGTTTTAGTTGATATGAAATATTTATTTGTATATATTCGTGGTACATTTTTTTAAGCTGTTATAAATCTTATTTTACATTTGGACCGAGGACAGCAGGATGTCAAACACTGGACAGGAGACGGACAGAGGACGGGCTGGAACGTCTTCATGCTTCTGAGTAGCTACAAATACAAGCTGCACAGTTTTTAACACAATATTATAAATTAATTTATTGTCTTGGACATGGATGAAAACATGAACAAATCTCAGAGTTGTATTCTTCACAGCAACTGATGTGTCTCCTGTTCATAGTTTCATATCTTATTGTCTGTTCCTAATGTTGAACAGAGGAGTTTATGGGTGTTCTGCAGAAACCTGACCTGTGCAACAACATCACCTTTAGAAACAARAATGTGTTTTATCTGAGCTCAGCAGCAGCTTCCTCTGATGGACTCATGGGAATATTTACACTGCATGCTGAGCTGCTGCACCTGCAACAAACCGTCTGCTCACGACTAAAACTTCTCATATACACACAATTCAGAGAACAGACAAACATTTCAGAGAGCAGACACACATTTCAGAGAGCAGACACACATTTCAGAGAACAGACAAACATTTCAGAGAGCAGACACACATTTCAGAGAACAGACAAACATTTCAGAGAGCAGACAAACATTTGAGAAACGCAGCATGGCAGCTTTCTGCAGGCTGTGACATGTGATGGTGGGGTCTAAAAGGAGCAGTCTAATATCTGGAGTCTGCAGCGACGTATACAATGTCTCATCATGTGGACGTCTCACGGTGTGTCCCCCTCTCCGCCCAGGCTTGTCCCTGAAGCCGGTGAGGGAGGTGGGGTGGGGGCGGGGCTTCAGAACTCCTCGTGAACGTTTCTGGCGTAATCCATCAGCTTGCTGCCCGTGAAGTATTCGCTGTAGCGGAGAATCTCTTCCAGCTCCAGCTGATGGTTCTGGTTCTCGTCGGCGACTGCGATCATCTGCTTGGCCTCGTTCAGAGCGTTGTGCTCGTTCATCGGGTCCATGTACTCCTGTGAGACGGGGTCAAAGGTCAGAGCTGGATAAAGACTCTGCACACTGTGATGTTCAGAAAGTGTGTTGCTGAAACACAAGTCTGTACGGGATAAATCTTGTGCCAACAGGAAGTGAATTTGAATTGCTCAGATTGAATCTGAATGTTCATCATTTGAAGTTTAATGCATTGGTTTGAAAATTAATTTTACTAAATTTAAACTGAATTAAAAGTTTTGAATTAATTTACTTTGAAACTGTATTTTGGTT